GGCCAGCAGGCTCGGGAGGCCTGGTCCTTGGTCCTCTGTGAGCTGAGCTAGGTTGTTGCCTTGGGCAGTGACCCCCGCCGCAGCCCACTGGACCAGCCTCCGGGTCCAACTGAGGAGAGGCTGGAAGGGCCGGATGCAGCTCGACCTAGGAGTCCAAGGAGTTCCTGGCTGGGGAAGGCGTCTGCAGACCAATGAGGTGCAGGCTTCCCTGGGGGAGGTGCCGGAGGCAGGAAGACATCCCCGGGGTGAGACTCAGAGGGCTCTGGGCAGACTCTGGTGTAAGGCCCTGTGAGATGACTGCTGGGCCCACTGCGATGGCCCCTGGACAGGGCCAGGCAGAGAGGCAGGATCCTGGGGTTTGGTCCCAGCAGCACAGTCCCACAGGCAGCCCCACTGGGGGCCTGGGAGGGCCACACAGCAGGGAGCGGGACACCGTCCTGTGTCCCAGCCCAGGTGGCTCTGGTCATTCCCAGGGTCTGGGAGGCAGGACAGCTGGGGAACGGGACAGCGGTGTGCCAGACCGTCAGGGCATCAGTCGCCGGCAACCCTGAGCTGGGAGACGTGAACTCTGCTGCCGCAGGAGCGCCTGTGCTGCTTGCAAGGATCTGGAGTGGCAGTTGTCACAGTTCCTTCCTGGACAGGACCCCGTGTCGCCTAGGGACCACCTTGGACCCCTACCAGGAGAGCCCGTCGTGGTGGCCCCGGTGCTGTCACGGAGGTGCTGTCCGCGGGGCCCTGGCCTTACCACGGTGTGAACGCCCCGTTTGGGGGTCCGTGTGATCTTTTGCTTGTCCTTGTCCCAGGGCTGTGCCATCCGTGTGCGCCCGCCATGGCCCTGCTGGCTTCTGCCTCAGTCAGCCACTGCGTGCATGTTTGTGTCGACAGCGCCATGGAACCACCGTGCACAGGGCTGCCCGGCCTCCGCGGGTGCCCACTCCCCTCCCAGTTGTCCAAGGGTCGAGCAAGCTGACACAAAGACCCTAGGGCACACAGGGCTGTGTCCTCCCCACGTCAGTGCTGGGGCTGCTACCTGCTCACCCACGTCTCCTGGCAGGCGAGGCCATGCCCTGTCTGATCGGTCTCGTACCTTCAGGCTTGGTCACCCCCAAGCCCCAGACGAGAGGGGCGGACACACACGGCCTGAGCAGAGAGCGTCACCCACGGGGCACGGCCCCTGAGCACCGGCTGTGGTCCCAACTTTGGAGAAAGGTGATGGAATCATGCCGGGGCTTGCGGGCAACCAGCCTGGGTCCACCTGGACAGCCAGCAGCATCCCTGGCCACTCCCCCAGCCCTATGCTGCGCAAACTGAGTCTGTGCTGTCCTGGCAGCTGCCTGGCAGAGAGGAGGAGAGATGGAGAGAGAACTAGAGAAGAGGCTGCTCCGAGCCCCTCTGCATGCCCAGTGGACGGCGTTGGGCAGGGCCTGGCAGGCATGGCTACCGCGATCCCACAGCCACCAGGAGCCAAGCCTGGAAGGGGACAGGGCCTGAGATGCCCAGTGTCCACTCAAGCCCGAGGGAACCCGGTGTCCCCATAGCCCCTCTGGGTTGAGACCTCTGGGCAGGTGAGTCGGCTCCCCACTGCCAGGCCCCAGCAGAGCTGGGGAGAAGCTCAATGCAGGACGAAGAGAAGGGCCAGGGTGGGGGAGGATCTGGGAGGGCCAAGTGTTTGGCAGGGACGCGTCGGGGAGGCTGTGCTGGGTGTGCAAGCTGCTTCGTGGGGTGTGTAGTGGACACACAAGCTGCGTCCTTGGTGCTCAAGGCTCACCTTCAGCCACGAGAGTCGCTCTGCTGGCACCCCTGCCCAGGCGTGGGGCCGTGGACCAGCGCCTCCACCCTCCCCACAGGGGACTGGCTGGGCGGACGACATTCATGTCTGTGTCTCAGTTTTCCCGCTGGACCAGTGGACGTGAACTGCTTCCTGGTCTGTGGACGGCTGTGGTCATGGTGGGGTCCCGTGCAGCTGAACCATGTTCAAACCCACATGCCCTCAGACAGACAGCACCATGCAGCCTGCGTTGCTCATTCTGGCAACTGCACAGAGATGGACACACCCCAAACACGCATGTCCACAGGCCGAGCCCAGGGACACACGCTGGACACGTGTGTTCACAGACAGAGCCCAGGACACACCCTGCACACGTGTGTTCACAGGCAGAGCCCGGGACACACCCTGCACACGTGTGTTCACAGGCCGAGCCCGGGACACAGCCTGCACACGTGTGTTCACAGGCGGAGCTCAGGACACAGCCTGGACACGTGTGTTCAAGGGCAGAGCCTGGGACACAGCCTGCACACGTGTGTTCAAGGGCAGAGCCCGGGACACACCCTGCACACATATGTCCACTAGTGGAGCCCAGGACACCCCGGAAGCGTGTTTGCACCAACAGTACCTGGGACACACCCTGGACACACGTGTCCACCAGCAGTGCCCGGGGCACACTCCAGACACATGTCTGTCTATCTCTCCCTCTCCCTATCTCTCTCTGTCTCTCCTCTCTGCCCAGGTTCTCACTGCCAGGGAGGCAGCCAGGACAGGGGAGGACAGGCCCGTTTGCCCAGTTGGGCATCTTGGCTGCCTCACAAGTCCTTCCTTGTGCCCCCCAGGGCTGTGTCAGCCGTCTCCTCCCCCCCCCAGGGCTGTGTCAGCCGTCTCCCCCCAGGGCTGTGTCAGCCGTCTCCCCCAGGGCTGTGACCCCACAGAAGGCTCAGTGTTGCTCCCACTGGTGCCCCTCAGGCCACAGGGTGCCCACCCTCAGGAAACCCTGCTGCGGCCAGGAGGCCAGAGCCGGAAACAGGAGCTCCCAGCCCTGGTGACTCACAAGCTGGCCCAGCCATGCATTTCCAGGGACAGAGCCAGACTCTGGTGACAAGGATCCCTGGGGCACGGGGGTGCCGGTTCCCGGCCAGTTCCTGGGGTGGCCCCACGAGGTAAGAGCAGGCCCAAGGCGTCCTCTGCCAGGACCTTCATGAGCCCTCCAATGTCTGGGGACAGAGAGGCCCCAGCACCCACAAAGCACACCTGCTGGGGTCCCTTCTCCATCCTCAGGGGCCTCTTGGGGGTGCTCAGGCCTGCTCTGGGGGTTTGCAAGGGACAAGGGACAAGGATGGGTTACTCCAGGTTACCACAGCTCCGCTCAGCTCCTAACAACCCGTCCCCATTCCTGGAGCCTCCCCACCCCGACCCTGCCCCATCACGGTGGGATGGAAACTTCCTCTACTCTGATCCAGCTTCAGAGCCCATCCCCCTGGGAGCCGGAGGCCAGCTACTGGAGCAGGGCTCTTCCGCCCTCTTGTGGCTGGTGGCCTCTGCTGTCCAGGAGCCAGCTCCAGCTGGGCACAGGCCCTGGGGGACAGACTGCAGACCCTCTACTCTGATGGAGACTCCCCACATTTGCCCAGGCTGTGCCTGAAAGGCCCCTCTCCTTCCCCACTCCCTATACACCCCAGTGAAGGAAGTGAGGGCACCCAGACCTGAGAGGCCGCAGTGCTGCCAGCGCCTACTGCCGGCAGGGGAGGGTCCGGGGTCTGAGCCAGGGCAGGCCACATCTGCAGCGGATCTCATGTGTCCTGAACTGGAGCCAGAGCGTGGGTCCTGTGCTGGCGCTGCCGGGTCCCCGGGTCCTCCTGGGAGCGGTGGTCAGGAGAGGGTCCAGCTGGGGCCACCGCAACCAGAGGCAGAGACTGGGCCCGGGCTGGGCCCCGGGGTGTCCAGGGTACCTCTGCTGAGCTCCAACGTCTGGCTTAGGGTACTCCGCGGCCCCTTCTGCTCGTATGTATGTGAGAGGGACAGAGAGAGATTGTCCAGGCCCTGGTTCACTCTCCAATGGCCACAGTGGTGCCCAGGGTTACCAGAACAGCCTGGTGGGCTCTTTCCTCCACTTAGAATAGAAACAGGGTGGAAAACGGGGAAGGGACTCCCAGGCTCAAAAACAGAAAGGAAAATCCAGGAATCCGGTGCAGACAGAACCGTTTCTTTGCGAAAGGTCCGGGTGAGCAGTGAAGGGAGAGGGCGGGGGAAGGCACCTCCCGAAAGGGGGGAGGTGGGGTGCCTCTCAAAGAAGGGACAGCGACCCCAAAGTTCCAGGAAGGGTCTTGGGATTTTAAACCTGACCCCTCCTTGTTGGGCAGGATCCTACAGGTAAGATATTCCCCATTGGTGGTCTCTTAATCAATTAGAATGGGTGGGCGATGCTGGTGCCGCACCCCTGAAGGTGTGATCAAGACCTCAGCAGGCCTGGATGGTCGCACCCAGAGCTGAGCCGATCTGCAGCCAGGAGCCAGGAGCTCTTCTGGGTCGGCCACGTGGGCGCAGGGTCCCAAGACTCTGGGCCGTCCTCCACTGCTTTCCCAGGCCACAGGCTGGATTGCAAGTGGAGCGGCCAGGACACGAACCAGTGTCCTACAGGGATGACACTGCACTGCCCCTCCACCGTGGAGGCTGTCTTTAAAATCGGGGTGCTGGGCAGAAGGTCCTCAAATCTTCTTAGGGGAGCACCTGTCCACTGCGTGGCCATGTGGACCGCCTGTGACCGCCACGGGTGGATTTTTCCCCGTAGAGAGGGACCCCACGTAACTGTCCGGCTGTGGGCTCCTGGCCGGGAGGGACCCTGTGCAGGGCGGAGGACGTGGGTGTCCTCGGCCGGGAGCTCCCTGCCCCAGGGGAGGGGTGGGCTTTGCTTTCCCTGAAGGCCCCCCAGCCCTGAGTGTGGGGCTGTGTGGGAGCGGCCAGGGCCAGGCCTGGTTTCCAGGGGTGGCCATGGAGTCCTGGACCCCACGGCCCTGGGCCCTCGGCAGGCCGGGCCGGCTCCCACGGAGGCTGACCACGGCCCTGGTCCGCGCCCCGAGCTGCGAGCCGTGGCCACCCTGTCCTCGCGCGATCGTGCGCCCTCCGCAGGACCCGGGCCCAGGTCACGGCCGCGGGCGCGTTGCCCTGGCGACGGCCGACGCGCGCTTCCGGGGCGGGCCGCGGCGACGGGAAGTGCGTGGCCGCCGGGGCCATGGCGGCGCTGGGCGTGTTGTGGTTGCTCCTCGGGGCGGCGTGGACGCCGCGCGGCGCGGCTTCGGGCGAGGAGTTCTGGCCCGGCCAGTCGGCGGCCGACCTCCTGTCGGGGGCGGCGGCGCGCAGGCGGTGAGCGAGCGGCGTCCACCGGGGGTGGGCACAGGCAGGGACCCCAGGGGGAGCGATTGGAGCCAGGGTGTCGTGTGGGTGCGGGAGGTCTGTGTGCCGCTGGGCTGGGCGTGGGAGGCCCCCCAGCAGGCCCCGAGGACCTGAGCACCCGCTGGGCCCCGGGAGCGCCGGCAACCGAGAAGAGGATGCGCCACAGGAGATCCTGCGCCCCGGGAGAACCTGTGCCTCAGAAGAGTCTGCGCCCCGGGAGAGCCTGTGCCCCGGAAGAGGATACCTGTGCCCCCGGAGTGCCTGCGCCCCCGGAGTGCCTGTGCCCCCGGAGTGCCTGCGCCCCGGGAGAGGACGCGCCCCGGGAGTGTCTGCGCCTCTGGAGAGGTTGCGCCCCGGGAGAGGATGTGGGTGCCAGGAGCGTCGTGCCCAGGGCTGCCCGCTGAGCGCACACCCCCACCCCAGGTACCTGCTGTATGATGTCAATCCTCCGGAGGGCTTCAACCTGCGCCGTGATGTCTACATCCGCGTGGCCTCGCTGCTCAAGACGCTGCTCAAGAGTGAGGACTGGGTGCTGGTCCTGCCCCCGTGGGGCCGCCTCTACCACTGGCAGAGCCCGGACATCCGCCAGGTTCGCATCCCCTGGGCCGACTTCTTCGACGTGCCCAGCCTCAACAGGAACATCCCGGTCATCGAGTACGAGCAGTTCATCGCAGGTGGGCGAGCTGCGCCCTGGGGCCCACGGTCAGCCCTCCCGCCACGGAGCTAATGGGGGACCCTGAGACTTCGCCGCTGGTTCCAGACCAGGCCCCCGGTTTCCTGCCTGGGTTGGCTCTCCTTGGTGTGCCAGGGACTGGCCAGGCCTCTGTGCCTGGGGGCATGCGAGCCCATTCCTTGAGCTGGCTGGGGCGGGTGTGCCCTCACCCCCTCCTGAGTCAGCGCCCCTCGGTAGCTCTGAGTGCGCCCTGCAGTGTGGCTGGCCGCCCTGGACGCTGAGAGCAGGTAGCTGGGCCAGGAGTCTCCCCAATTAGTCATGCCATGCATCTGTCCTGTGGGCCCTGCCCAGACCATCTCTGACCACCTGGGTGTGGGCAAAAAGGGGGCCAGGGGACGGCAGACCCTGCTCCTGGCTCCTGCTCCAGTAGGGGCAGAACCTGAACTGCCAGGCCCTGGACAGTGATGGGGAAGGGAGGGGCCTGCAGGAACAGGAGGGAGGGAGGGACAGCAGACAGACCCTGCCCATAGTGAGGCCAGGCCAGGAGGACAGCAGCGGGCCCTGGAGGAGTCCCCAGGCTCTGCCCACTGCTCCGCTCTGGGCACGAGGAAGCCCTCTGTGCCCGTGGCGCCTGCACCATTGCGTGTCTCCCATCTCTTTCAGAGTCTGGCGGGCCCTTCATCGACCAGGTCTACGTGCTGCAGGGCTACGCCGAGGGCTGGAAGGAGGGCGCGTGGGAGGAGAAGGTTGACCCGCGGCCGTGCCTGGACCCGCTGCTGTACTCGCAGGACAAGCACGAGTACTACAGGTGTGCACGTGCCGGGAGGACGGGGCGCCCGTGTGCTTGCCCAGCCAGGCACCGTGTTCACGGCAGCCCCAGTGGGAATGGCCACCTGAAGCCAGGCTGGCCGGAGGAGCGCTCCTGCAGCGGCCACTCCCAGCAGTGTTGTGTGCAGAGCCCTGAGGTCTGCTATCATCCAGACGTTCAGAGACACACGGTCACAGGTCCCCACGAGGTGCCCAGGGTCCTGATCTCCATGTGGTGCCCAGGGCCTCCTGGGCCACGGAACCCCATATGGTGCCCTAGGTCACGGAACCCCACGTAGTACCCAGGGTTTCCTGGGTTATGAGTCCCCCCGTGGTGCCCAGGGCCTCCTGAGGCTGACCCGCAGAGGCGTGGAGCACCATTCAAGCCTCCCCTGGGGATGGCCCGGACACCTTGCCAGGCTGTTCTTGACAGGAACTAGATGGGATGTGCTGGGATGATGGTGGCCCAGGAGGCTGCCCAGCCCGCTGCTGCTCTGCCTGCCCCAGACGTGTGGCTATGGCCGTGTGTGCCATGGTGCAGCTCTCCCTGAGCTGAGCGTAGGGCTGGGACATGCGTGCATCCTCTCACCGGTGCAGATGGACCAAGGGGGCTGTTGGCTTTATTTTGCAGAGGCTGGTTCTGGGGCTACGAGGAAACCAGGGGGTTGAACGTCTCATGCCTGTCAGTCCAGGGCTCCGCCTCGATCATGGCACCGGTGCTGCTGCGGAACACTTCTGCCCGGTGAGTGCCCAGGCCAAGTGCCCTCCCTTGGACCTCAGGCTCAGCTCCCACGTGTCCACGGTGGGAGGAGGCTGCCTGCTAGGGGAAGGCCCAGCCCAGGGCCTCTCTGAGCAGTGAGAGGGGGAATGGGAGGGCTGTCTGACCCTGGGGCCTGGGTGGCCGTGTTCAGGTGGGCGTCCTGCCTGTCTGGGCCTGTGGTCTGGCTGCAGGTGCACAGCAGGTCCACTGTGGCCTCTCCCCGGCCCTCTCCCAGCCCTGTACATGCAGTGTGGGGCCTGCCAGTCTCCGCTGCTGGGGGATGGGGTGGGGAGTCCAGCAAGAGGACACGTTGGAGGGTGGGCTTCCTGGGACCCGCTGGGACTGTTGGATTTTGAGGTCATCAGCCCTTTTGGTCCCTTCATGTGATTTTCCCCAGTGTCCCAGTGCCAGGTGTGAGGGTGTCCTCAGGTCAGGACACCCCCAGGACCCAGCCCTATCCCAGCATGGCCTTGCTGTCACTGCTGTGGCTGTGCAGTCACCCGGGGTTCCCTTCCTCCCGTGGGCCCATGGGAATGGCAGTGAGCCCATCCCAGCATTGACCCTGCCCACCCGGGGAGAGTCTCTCAGGCTTCAGGGAACCCCCGTCCTAGTCTGGGTGTTCGAGGTCTCACCTTGCTGCGTCCTCCACGGCATCCACGTGTGTCTGACCGTGGCTGGTCCTCCATAGTATCCTGTGTACGTGACCATGGCTGGACCTCCACGGCGTCCGTGTGTCTGACCGTGACTGGTCCTCCATGGTGTCTGTGTCTGACCATGGCTGGTCCTCCGTGGTGTCCGTGTCTGACCGTGGCTGAGCCTCCACGGTGTCCATGTGTCTGACCGTGGCTGGTCCTCCACGGCGGCCGTGTGTCTGACCGTGGCTGATCCTCCACGGCGGCCGTGTGTCTGTGGCTCCGTTTGCTAATCCTGTTCCATGTCCTGCTCTTTGCTGTTCCTTCCTGGGGCAGGGCAGACTGTGTGACCCCTAGGAACCTCCATAACTTGCCCTGGGCACCTGCTGGGTCCTGGGCATTTGCCCGGGCCAGGGTTCCCTCACTTTCACTCCTAGAGACAGCACTTCCTGTTTGGCTTCAAGCAGCGACCGTGGCTTGCTTTCTGTCCCAGGTCGGTGATGCTGGACAGAGCTGAAAACCTGCTGCATGACCACTACGGAGGGAAGGACTACTGGGACGTGAGTGCCGTGGGCGAGAGGGACCCGGAGCACCCGGTCAGAGGCTGGCCGATGCCCTCCCAACACACAGCTCCTGCCTGGGGTATCAGCGTGGGCTCGGGCTCGGCCCCGCCTCATCCTCCTGCCCACTGTGCGGGAGCTTGCCCCGGGCTCTCGCTGGTGGCCCTGGGCCCTGAGATGGTGCACTTGCTCCTTCTGTCCTGGGGGAAGCCTGCGCGACCAGAAGCCCCTGGTGCCCGGAATGGAGGCGGTCACAGGACCAGCTGCCCCCCACACCCGTGCAGAGGTGGGGCCTGCATTGCATGGTGCGGGGTCCGCAGTGAGAACGCAGGGAAGTGCCAGACTCGCGTGCTCAGGCAGGACCCGCATGGTGCTGGTCGGGGGCACGTTGTCCAGCGGCCTGCAGGGACCCAGCCTGGGCTCTGCGACCTTTCCGGCGAGTTTCACCCAGCCTGGGCCGGGGTGACCAGGTCGGCCATCAGCTGTGCTGTCCCCACAGACCCGGCGTAGCATGGTGTTTGCCAAGCACCTGCGGGCGGTGGCTGACGAGTTCAGGAGCAGACACCTCAACTCCACCGACGACGCGGACAGGACCCCCTTCCAGGAGGACTGGACCAAGATGAAGGTAGGTAGCCTGGAGCCAGCAGGGCCAGAGCTGGACGGGCCTCTGGTCAGCACCCCAGCCTGCTTTCCTCTGACGGGCTCCGCGTGGCCCCGTCCCTCCACGTTCATCCTCACGAGCTCCACGAAGAACAGATGTGTCCCTGCCTGGGGCTGTTGGGGAAGGGCACTGCCCAGGCTGAGGTGCAGCTGCGTGCTTGGCCTCTGCCCGGAGGAAGGAGTGAGCAGTGTGCTTCCCACGCAGTCGGTGTCTCCCACACTGTGGTCCTCAGATCCCACACCTGCGGGGTCGTGCGCCCTGTGCCTGAGATGCCCCCACGCCAGGGCTCCTTGGGGTCCTCCACCCTCGCTGCATGGCTGCTGCAGGACCGGGCACCCCCGGCCCCAGCCTGTCCACTGACCCCGCGCGGCTCCTCTTGCAGGTCACGCTGGGCTCGTCCCTCGGGGGCCCGTACCTGGGCGTCCATCTCAGGAGGAAGGACTTCATCTGGGGGCACAGGGAGGACGTGCCCAGCTTGGAAGGGGCCGCAAGGAAGATCCGCAGCCTCATGAAGACGCACCGGCTGGACAGGGTGTTCGTGGCCACAGATGCTGTCAGAGCTGGTACGGAGCTCGGCGTGCCTGTGGCTTGTTGGGGCAGAGCAGTGTGGCTGGCTGCTGGCCGGCATCTGTAGGGTGGGCAGGGGCGCCTGGACCACGCCATCCAGCGGGCTCTCCTGCCGTGCAGAGTACGAGGAATTGAAGAGACTGGTGCCCGAGGCGGTGCGGTTCGAGCCCACCTGGGAGGAGCTGGAGCTCTACAAGGACGGCGGGGCGGCCATCATTGACCAGTGGGTCTGCTCGCACGCCAGGTACTGCCCGCCACGGGCCCTGGGCACTGGTGCTCAGAGTGGGCGGGGCGGCCATCACTGACCAGTGGGTCTGCTCGCACGCCAGGTACTGCCCGCCACGGGCCCTGGGCACTGGTGCTCAGAGTGGGCGGGGCGGCCATCACTGACCAGTGGGTCTGCTCGCATGCCAGGTACTGCCCGCCACGGGCCCTGGGCACTGGTGCTCAGAGTGGGCGGGGCGGCCATCACTGACCAGTGGGTCTGCTCGCACGCCAGAGTGGGTAGGGTGTGTGCAGGGACCACTCCCTGGCCTTGGCCTCCGTCAGAGTCCCCTGCCAGGAGTTGGCTTCCCGCTTGGGTCTCAGGCCAGCGTCCTCTGTGGAGAGGTAATGCCTTGCCCAGCCACTTGCTGCCATCCTGAGCCGTCCTCCCAGGATCCTCTTCTGTTCTGTAACAAGCACAGTTGGCATACCCAGGGCCGGCTTCTGGGAGGATCCAGCCTGGCAGTGGGGCCCCTGTGGCCTCACCCCACAGCCCTGCTCCAGCCCACACCTGCTCTGGTGCCGGCTCTTGGACTGGGTCCTGGGTGTCCTCGAGTGAGACCCACACATGGCACTGCAGGGGGATGGGCAGTGGCCCTGGTGCCCAGGGTCCTGCAGGGCATGATGGGGAGGAGGCCGGGGAGCCCGAGGACACTGGGCCAGTGCGGGAGCTGTGAGGGCCCTGGGAGCATGCCCGCTGCCCTGCGTGACCTGCCACCTCCGTGTGCCTCAGGTTTTTTATCGGCACGTCGGTCTCCACGTTTTCTTTCCGGATTCACGAAGAGAGAGAGATCTTGGGCTTGGACCCCAGGACAACCTATAACAGGTTCTGCGGCGACAAGGAGAAGGCGTGCGAGCAGCCCACCCACTGGAAGATCACCTACTGAGCTACCAGCCCTGGTCAGCGCGGGACAGGCCCTGCTGGCCCCCGCCTGCAGGGCTCGGCCACGGGCGTTGGGGTGCCACAGGTGTATTGCCAGCGGCCGCCGTGTCCCCCCCAAGAGGGTGGGCGTGGGCCGTGTGTGCGGAGGCCTCACTGGGAGGAGCTGGAGCTCTACAAGGACGGGGCATGGCAGAGTGGACGGGAGAGTGTCCTGTGTCCGGCCCCAGCTGAGCCTGCCTGCTCCAGGCCCGGGTGAGCCCCTTGCCACCCAGCGCCCGGGAGGCTCGGGACTGGACGCTGCGGGTCCACAGGTTCACACGTGGTTTTCCGCATCTCGCCGTCCCCGTGGGAGCCTCGCCTCTAAGCAGCTCCTGGCGGCGCCCGTACTGGGCAGGTGCTTGGGCTCAGGGTGCCCTCCTGACCCACCGTGTGGCAGTGACCTGTGGCCCTGTGGGCGCTTGGGGCTCTGCCCACCCGCCAGGGTGACCTGCCCACCGTCCCTTGGTGACAAGGGACACGTCGCTCAAAGCTGTGCTGGTAAATAATGACGTATTTATTCTGTCTCCATTTGTATATCCAAACGATAAATTTTCTAGAAAGCCAGAACGCGTGCTTTTCCTCGGCGTGGCCAGCAGGGGAGGGAGCGGCCAGGGTGGCTGAGTTCCTGGGGCGGGTGGCCCGTGGCCTCCGGGTCACGTTCCCACGAGGCTCCCGGACTGGACGTGACCCCGAAGCCTCTCGCGGGGCCCCGGGACCCACACTGAGAAGGCAGGAGGGACACGGGCGTGGACACTGTGAGGGATGCGGGAGAGGTGCAGCAGGGCCTGCGTGGGCACGCTGCGCGGTGACGCCGGCATCAGGTGTGGGCACGCTGCGTGGGCACGCTGCGCGGTGACGCCGGCATCAGGTGTGGGCACGCTGCACGGTGACGCCGGCATCAGGTGTGGGCACGCCGCGTGGTGATGCCGGCATCAGGTGTGGGCAGGGCCCACGTGGGGACGCCGGATGAGGTGCGGGCACTGCCGACATGGGGACATTGGTGGTGACACCGAGTGAGGTGCGGGCACTGCCGACATGGGGACGTTGGTGGTGACACGGGTGAGGTGCGGGCACTGCCGACATGGGGACGTTGGTGGTGACACGGGTGAGGTGCGGGCACTGCCGACATGGGGACGTTGGTGGTGACACGGGTGAGGTGCGGGCAGGCTCTGTGGCCTGAGGGCTGTGCTCAGCCCCGCGGAGGAGAAGGGGTGAAGGATGGTGTTTGTTGCGGGAAGTGAGTGCGAAGTTTGGGAAGGGGAGGTGGCGGCGGCTGTGCGTGGGGTCGTCTGTGTGGGGAGGGACGTCTGGTGGGCCCAGCGCCCCGTCCTTGGCCATGGCCCCTGTCATGGCACGGCCCTGGTCATGGCACGGCCCCTGGTTATGGCCGCAGCTCCTGGTCATGGCAAGGCCCCAGTCATGGCACGGCCCTGGTCATGCCACGGCCCCTGGTCATGGCACAGCCCCTATCATGGCACGGCCCCTGGTTATGGCCGCGGCTCCTGGTCATGGCAAGGCCCCAGTCATGGCACAGCCCCTGGTCATGGCACGGCCCTGGTCATGGCACGGCCCTGGTGGCAGAGCCAGGGCTGAGCGGCCAGCAGCCTCCGGCGGGGTCAGCTGCGGGCAGGCTTGGCCGTCGGCGCCGAGTGATAGCCAGAGATCTTTCTCCCTCCGTATATTTGCCTTTCCAGTAAAAATAAATATCTTTTAAAATTTTGTTGGGGTTTTTTTGGGTGGGGGAAGAGATTTGCCGAGCGAAGGAGGACGATCTTCCGTCTGCTGGTTCACTCCCCAAGTGACCGCAGCAGTCAGAGCTGAGCTCATCCGGAGCCAGGAGCCTCCTCCGGGTCTCCCACATGGGCACAGGTCCCAAGGCTTTGAGCCATCCTCAACTGCTTTCCCAGGCCGCAGGCAGGGAGCTGGATGGGAAGTGGAGCTGCTGGGATTAGAATCAGCACCCATGTGGGATCCTGGCGCATGCAACGAGCAAGATACTCGGATGGGAGTATGTTGGAGTCACTTTGCACTGAAGGCTTTTGGGTAGAAATATCTACCCCTGGTCATCTTTCCCCACCATGAGGAATGTCCTCCGTCCCCTCAGGAACTGGGGCTTGGGGGGCCGTGCTCAGCGGAGCCTGCTTTCTGGGTGACCCGGCAGCGGCCCGTACCACGGCTTTGGGCTTATGAGGCCAGGGTTGGGGAGTCTCTGCCATGCCCGAGGCGAGGTCAGTGACCCCCTGAGCACGGACAACAGGGAGGTGCAGTGGGAGTCTGGGAGGGAGCCTGTCCCGGGTCACTCCTGCAGCACAGCTGGCTTTCTCTGTGGGTCCCGGACCGGACGAGCTGCCATCACTGCCAGCCTGTCTCAGGCTTGGCCTGTCCTAGGCTCCACGTGGAGCTGGAGCCTTCCGGGCTGAGCCGGGCAGGCAGGCCTGCGGGAGCCCAGCTTCGATGTGTATCAGAGTTGAATGAGCTGTGGGACAGACCGGGCAAGCGTAGGAACCAGGGCCGGGACTGGGCCCCGTGGGGGCTATTAGGGGTCGCCCTGACTAGCTCATAGATCCTGTTGGTGAATGTGAGTGCCGAGTGAGTGGTGGGCAGGGTTGGGCTGGACCACAGCATCCATTGGTTAGTAAAAGAAATGGAATTGGAAACAGAACTGACCCAGCAATTGCGACTACTAGTGTGTGTGTAGGCTGCTGTGGGCGATGGCTGAGCCGGCACCTGTAGCAGTGAACGCACGCCAAAGTCAGGTAGGGATTATTGCAGTGAGGCTTTTGTGGAGAGCCCCAGCTGAACCGCTGGACTCAGAATCCCAGCCATGGCGAGAACTGCAGGTGCCGTGCTCTGACCGTGGGGTGCATGTGTCAGAGCTGGGCCTTCTCGGAGGGTCGGATGGAGCGGTGGACAGCATGGCCAGGTGCACATGGGAGACACGGCAGTGCCCTGGAGTCTGCAGAGGACACCTGGTACCACAACAGGATGGAGGACAGAACAAACCGTCAACTACCCCAGGCAAGAGGTGGCAGTGAATACCTGGACAAATGGAAACTTTGGGGGGGTCTGTCAGCGGGGAGTCCTTGGAAGGATTCCTCATCCTTGTCCGTGAGATCGGCAGCATTTCAGAACTATTGAGACCAGTCGAGCAGAACCCTCGGAGGAGGCCCCACGGAAGGGAAGTGGAGCAGCTGGGATGTGAACTCCAGGTGATGGTATGGGGTGGTGGGGCCGTTCCCCCTCCCTGGGTGCCCCTTCCTGGCCTTGGCGTGGGACAGGCTCCACTGTCAGCGCCCCCACCCTGGCCCCGGCCCTGTTCAGCGCTGTCCTTGGTGCTGACCGTAGACTCTCATATAGGGATGGGGTGGAAAGTGTTACCTCTGCACCCACCCACGGTGTCCACAACCTCCTGGTCACATCCAGGACAAGGGTGGATGGGCTCAGGCTCAGACCATCTTAGGGATGGTGCACGACCACCCCAGGAGTGGACACTCGGCCCTCTGAGCTATGGCTCAGTCAGCCCCATGGCATCCAAGGTTGGGCAGCACTGAAGGCCCCCATTGTACCTAGCCTTGGCTGCTTCTCTGGGCAAGAGGATGCTGGCAGCACCCACGGCTCCTCCTGTCCGCAATGCAGACAGGTGGGGAGTCCTGATGAGAAGCGGTCTTCCCCCATGCCAAGGTGCCCGGGCTACAGGGGGACACTGCCTGCAGGGCATGTGAGGCCCTCAGGTCACACCTCACCCCTTAGTCTGTCTTCTTCGTCCTGGGGCCTCGGGACACACAGAGCAGAACTTGCCCAGCTCCTCTCATCCCAGACCCAGCAGGTTAGTTCTGCCCAGGATTCTCGCGGAGCCCCTGTGCTGGGCACAGTGGGGACACAGCCCTCCCTGCAGGGTTTCCCTGTGCCCTGTGCCATCTGGAGGCACCGTCTGACAGGGCCAAGCTTCATGAGTCCTTAGTGAAATGAGGGGCCACATGTCTGGGAGGTTCACTCCACCTCCTACAAGGTGCTTCCTGCCCAGGGCTCACAAGAGCCTGGCAGAGCCCATGGTGTGGGGCAATGGCACTGGGACTGTGAGCCATGGCCATCCCTACAGTGTGTGGCACTGTGACACAATGCCACCACACGTGCTGGGGCTCCCAACCACAGCTCCCTGTTCCTCCCCCTGCTCCCATTAACTGGCATCTCCTGAACAGAACCTTTGCCCAGGGGACAGAGGACAACTGCTGTGGCACCACTGCCAGCCCAGCCTCCTTGCTCTGGGGCCTGGGCTGAACCCCTCCACCCCCCGCCCGTGCCAGTCCAGGCCCCTCCACCTGACTCCTCTCTGGGTACAGCCATGTGCTCTGGGTCACATTCTTTCTAGCCAGCACCCTGCCTGCTGCTCACTCACACCCAGAGCCCTTGCCTGCTAGGCTTGGAGCTACTGGGGTCCACATGGCCCCTCCCTGCATGGGAAGAACCCTGGGCTGCAAGGGAGGGGCGGTGTGCTGGCCCACTGTGCCCCGGCTATGGTCAGTGGCCAGCTGTGTGTGTGGGGAGGTTGCCGCTGGACTTGCCTGCCCCAGCCTGTCCTCTGCCAACACCACAGACAACATCCACTGGGCCACCTCTTCCCTGGGGCTCCCCACGGTGCTCCGAGGCCGGCTTCCCAAAGCAGACTTCTCTTCCTCCTGCTTGCTCCCAACACCCCCTGCAGGTCCCTGTATCTGTCCTGCCCACAGTTCCATCCTTGGCACCGAAACACTGCAGGCAAGAGTTGGCATTTTTTAAAATAGTCAGTTACTTGACAACTCATTGAGATCTTCCACCCAAAAGGCCTGGCCTGCCATGCCGTCAGGTGCGTCGGCTGCAGCCAGAGTGGAGAAGCGGGATCAGAACCAGTGCCCACATGGACACAGACCACAGCCGTGGCCTGTCTGTGCTGTGGCGCCTGCTTCGGGCCCACACGCTGCAGCTATTCATGGTGTCTGTCGGCGTCTGTGCCAGCGTTTCCCGTGCTGCAGCCTCGTAGATGTGGTCTGAGTCATGTGTGTCAGAGATGACAGCAAAATTTTGTTGCCCTGCTGGTCTTGACAAGTGTGAGCCGGGGCTCGGTCCAAGTTCTGATTCTGCCACTATACACGTTGGTGTTGGGACACTTGCTGGTGTAAACGTGTTGGGGGGGTGACTTCTGCTCTCCGCTTGCCCCGTCCCCTGAGTGCAGGTGACCTGGGTCAGATCCCAGCCCCTCGCCGGCCGTCAGCTCCGTCAGGGTTTCACTCGGTGCTGAGCTGGTTAAGGCTCGAAATCACTCGGCCTGAGGCTGGTGTCTCCCAGCGGGCAGTGGCTTTCACCCCCCAGCTCCCTGCTGGTGCCCCAGGAAGCAGCCAGGGCTGGCCCCAGGGCTGAAGTCCAGCATCCACATGGGGCATCTGGCCATGCAGCCATCTGCAGAGTGGGCCAGTGGTGGGAGACATTACCGCCTACCCTGCTCTGTGTATAATGCTGTTTGTGAAGTTGACAAGTATATGTGCCTGTGTGGGCCACCAGTTAGGGTGGGGAGATAGAGGCACGGAGGA